GACGCGAGATGTGGTGAAGCAGCAGCCAGACACTGGAACTCCTCCTGCCTGTCCTCTAGGACGTCCGTGCCAAGAGCACACTCACCCCCGACGGACGGAGGACAGACAGACGCAGACTCAGCAACAAGACTAGCAGCGTAGTCTAGACGACAGCGAGCAGCAAAGTCGACGAGCTCAGCGACAAGAGCAGACGCAGCAGCGGACTCAAAAGAGGGGTCAGTGACGACAGTAGCAAGCAGACGCGTGACAGTAGGACTGGCAGCACGAAGGGAGTCCGACTCTGGGTCGGTAAGCACAGGAAGGGAGGACTCTGGAGGAGAAGGCAAAAGGGCACGCAGAGGAGCAGTGGACGGACGCAGAGACATCCGGTGCGTGCCAGGGACAGGAGGAGGACGCGGACGCGAACCACGACCACTAGCGCGGGCAGCACGAACAGGCGACGCGGGACGAGACGCAGGCTCACGACGCTCAGTAAGACATCCACTAGGACCAGTGTAAGGAGAGGGAGCAGGCAGTGGGGAGGTAGGCTCCAACAGTGACTGCGACTGGACAGGCTGTGGACACTCTACCGGAGGAGAAAGACCAAGAACCTGCTGCAGAAGCGGAACGAAGTACGGCCGAGGCCGCGCGGCAGCTCCAGACTCAGCAGGGACAGCACCAGCACCCTCAGCGGCAGCACCAGCGCCACCAACACCTCCAGCGGCAGTACCTCCAGCAGCACCAGCAGCAGAACCACCGTCAGGACAGACAGCAGCAGACTCAGCACCACCGCCCTCAGCAGCCCCAGCTCCAGTAGGACCCGCAGGCGTAGCACCTCCGAGACCGGCGGCACCAGCACCCTCGACGGTCGGAGAAGCTCCAGCTCCAGCAGTACGCCTCCAGCGGCGAGCAAACCACTCGCGCAGCTCCTGTGGAGAGAGGGGCTCCCGCCGAGACGCAGCACCAGGAGAAACCCCAGGCTCAGCGGCTCCAGACGTAGCACCCCCAGGCTCAGCAGCCCCAGACTCAGCACCCCCAGGCTCAGCAGCTCCAGACTCAGCACCCCCAGGCTCAGCAGCTCCAGCTCCAGTAGGACCCGCAGGCCCAGCAGCTCCGGGACCGGCAGCACCAGCACCCTCAGCTGTCGAAGGAGCTCCAGCTCCAGCAGCACGCCTCCAGCGGCGAGCAAACCACTCGCGCAGCTCGTGTGGAGAGAGCGGCTCCCGCCGAGACGGAGCAACCGGAGAGCCCCCAGGTCCAGCAATCGCAGGCTCCGCACCTCCAGGCTCAGCACCCCCAGGCTCAGCAGCTCCTGACGTAGCACCTCCCGGCTCAGCACCCCCAGCAGCAGCACCCCCAAGCTCAGCACCCCCCGGCCTCGCACCCCCAGGCTCAGCACCCCCAGCAGCAGCACCCCCAAGCTCAGCACCCGCAGGCGTAGCACCCCCAGACTCTGCACCCGCAGCAGGACCAGACTCAGCAGCAACCTCGACTGGCTCGACTGTGTCTACCTGGGACACACCTGAAGGGGCAGGAACCTGAGGGGGGAGGGGGTCTACCGGGGGGGGAACTGGCACCAGGAAGTCCGGTGGGGGGGGGAAGGGAAGGAGTACGGTAGGGGAAGAGGCGGTAGAAGGGGACTGACTCGTCGAACGTGACGTCCTGGGAGGACAGAACACGACCAGAGGAGGGGTGGTAGAACTGCCACCCTGGAGCGTCAGGGGGGAAGCCAAGGAAGACACAGGGAGCAGCACGGGGGGACAGCTTGTCCGCAGACAAGTCGCGGACAAACGCCCGAGATCCCCAGACACGGAACGCAGACGCATCACCGACCTTCCCCGTCCACAGTAACACTAGGGACATATCGGGCCGAGAGACCCTGGGGTGAAGGTTGAGCTGATGCGCCGCGTACCGAACCGCAAACGGCCACAGAAAATGGGGGGCAGCCGCATGCATCATGGACGTACGAGCGACATCCATGACCATGCCAATGCGGCGCTCAGCAATCCCATTTTGCTGTGGAGAGTCCGGAAGCGTAAAGGTCTGGCGGATCCCCTGTGCACGACAGTAGTCGCGCAGAAGGCGAGAGGAGAACTCCCCACCTCGGTCAGAGTGCAGACGCAGAACAGGAAAGTCCGAGCCGAAGCTCCTCCTGAGCTGGGGACGAGCCTCGCGGATCCAGTCGATCAGCACCTCAGTGACAGCACCCTTGCTGCGCAAGGGGAAGACTGTGGTGTAACGCGAGTAGTCGTCAACCACCAACAGGAAGTAGCGCTCGTGACCCTGCCCACGGACGGGGGCCGGGCCCCACACGTCCATGTGAAGTGTCTGCAGAGGAGCCTCTGTCGGGGGAAACTGGGAGGAGTGAGGAGCAGCCCTGAGGCGCCCCTCGACACAGGGGACACAGGAAGGTCCTGGTCCCGAAGGAAGGGGAGGGAGAGACTGGGGAAGACCAGAGACAAGGACACGGGAAGCCATGCCCCGAAGACGGGGCAAGGAGGGGTGGCCAAGACGGTGGTGCCACAGGAGAGTCTCGTGAGACAAGAGGCGACACGAGCAGGGGGCAGACTCAGGACCAGACCGGGACGCAGCAGCAAACACCTGACCTGACGCTGCTACCTGACCGGACGCAGGGACAGGAGGAGACTCAGTGGTCAGGGTGTAGAGGCTCGACCCCGGCCGACGCGAGAACGTGGCCAGGTGCCGGCCTGTGCGTGCGTCCGTGCAGTGGGTCACCCGCTGACTCGCAGGAGTGAACTGGTGAACCCCCGCATCCTGCAGGTCTGCACCACTCACCAAGTTCGTCGAGAACGAGGGGAGGTACAGGCCAGACAGGGTGCCCGAGGGGGCAGCCGGACACGGGAGGACAGTGGAAAAGTGAGCGAGGACAGGACCCCCAGAGGGGTCAGCCAGGGAGACTGCAACAGGCCGACCAAGCGGCGTGAGTGTGGTGCGGTCCCGAAAGAAGGAGCGAGAAGCCCCAGAGTCAAGTGTAAAGGTGAGGGAGGCCGAAGCCAACGTGGTACCTGAGAGCGCAGCCTCACCCGCACCTGAGGAAGCAGACTCACTAGCACCTAGAGCAGCAGCCGCACCTGTACCTGGAGCAGGAGACTCACTAGCACCCAGAGCAGCAGCAGCCTCACCAGTAGCTAGAGCAGCAGGTCCTATACCCGGGTCAGGCGGTACGCACAGGTGACCGGCACGGTCAGCACTAGTAGGCAATGCATACATGGCAGTGAGAATAGCATCATAGTCAAGAGCAAATATATCTACCCTCTGCCTAAGCAACTCCACCCAGTCGGGGAGCTCAGCCTCGTCGCCAAACACGGTACGCCAGGCGTCGCTCAGACGGGCGAAGCAGCGGGACTGTGTATGACTAGGTGTCCCACAAGGCTGACCAGTCCGAGCACCAGTGAGAATCACGTAAGAGCAGCGAACAGAACTGAGAGACCCTCCACTCTGAGTGTACCACTCACGAAGCTGCTGAGGCGTGAGAGACGCGCGGGGGGGTCGCGGGAGCTGCATCTGGCCGCCACCAGTAGTAGAAGCAGCAGGAGTGGTAGCAGTAGTAGCGCCACCACCCCTACAGCCCCAACCAGCGTACCACTCACGCAGCTGCTGGGGCGTGAGGGACTCACGCAGACGTCGATGGGGCCGCATCAGTGGTGGGTAGAGTAGGCTCGGCGACTCAGAGGCTCGGCAGTAGGGCGGCTCTGCGGCTCGGGCGACTCGGGCGGCTCGGCGGCAGGGCGGCTGGGCTCCTCAGCTGCGCAGACGGCTTGGGCGGCTCAGGCTGCACGGCGGCTAACGGGCGGCGTGGGGGGCCAGGACGGCGGCGTGCAGCAGGGACGGGCGGCGCACGGGCGGTGTGAGGCCGGGACGGGCGCGCGCGGGCGGCTAGGGGCCGGGACGGGCGCGCGCGGGTGGCTAGGGGCCGGGACGAGCGGCGCGCGGGCGGCTAGGGGCCTGAACGGGCGGCGCGCGAGCGGCTAGGGGCCGGGATGGGCGGCGCGCGGGCGGCTGAGGGCCGGGACGGGCGGCGCGCGGGCGGCTAGGGGCCTGAACGGGCGGCGCGCGAGCGGCTAGGGGCCGGGACGGGCGGCGCGCGGGCGGCTAGGGGCCAGAACGGGCGGCGCGCGAGCGGCTAGGGGCCGGGACGGGCGGCGCGCGGGCGGCTAGGGGCCTGAACGGGCGGCGCGCGAGCGGCTAGGGGCCGGGACGGGCGGCGCGCGGGCGGCTAAGGGCCGGGACAGGCGGCGCGCGGGCGGCTAGGGGCCTGAACGGGCGGCGCGCGGGCGGCTAGGGGCCGGGACAGGCGGCGCGCGGGCGGCTAGGGGCCTGCAGGGCAGGCCGAAAGAGTGAGAGCGAGGGCCCGGAGCAAAAGTTTAAAAGTGGTGGGCCCTAAGCACAGTTCCCACCCGGGAACCTGCTCGATACCATGTGAGAATAGAGCGAGAATGAATGAACTATGAGTGAAGTGAGTACAAATAGCAAAACCCTAATTGGGTTGTACCCCCTATGGTATACCCCACTGTAGCCTACACAACAGCATAAGCTACATATATGTTCTGACAAAATCCGTTTTATAACTGGAAACAGTTTTTCACACGAGTATCCATGATTCCTCATGAGAACTCGCGGAAATTCATGACGTGATTCAGCAGGGGACTTTGGTTTCAATTCAAGTGGATTACAGTTAATTCTAATGAGGCAGATTGAGGCAAATTCTTCAGCAGTTTCACAACCATTTTCTATTAAGGCAAAGCGAAGGCCTGGATTCCAGTTAAGCAACTGCTTTATGTTTTCCTTTGTGTGTTTAGGAATTTATATAAATGTGTGCTTGTACTTGCTTCAAGTTAATCAATGCTATTATGCTATTTCAAGCTCGGAATTCTACTACTACGTATTGACGAGACTAGAAACGTAACGTGGTGCTGCCGAAACGCTGCTCGACCAGATTCCTCACTCCACAAATCAAGGAAGGCATGACTACTCACTTTGTCTCTGTTATACCCTTGGCTATGAGGTGACAAGCTGTCACACTCGGAGGGTTCAAAGTGAAGTTCAGTGTTGCCAAGTTTGTTTTCGTGGTTCAGTTTTAAACGCTTCCGCATAGTACTTAGAGTTAACAGTCCGCTTGTGTTGTCAGAACATCATAGCTTATACATCTGTGTAGGCTGTAGTGGGGTAGCCCATAAGGGGTACAACCCAATTAGGGTTAGTACTTGTACCAAACTGTTTCATAGTTCAATCATTCTCGTTTCTCATCATGGTATCCGAGCAGGTTCCCTAGTGGGAACGCTACCTAGGGCCCACCACGATTTTTTTTTTTTCCTGCCTGGAGCGCGCTTCACTCCTGTCCGAGTCGCGCTTTGTGTGCTGTCCCTACCCTCGGGCCGCCCTTAGTGGCCCCCTCTCACGGCCCCTTTGGCTGCCCTTACGGCCCCTCGCGCCGCCCTTCCGGCCCCTCGCGCCGCCCTCTAAGGCCCCTCGCGCCGCCCTTAAGGCCCCTTACGGCCCCGCCTAGGCCCCTTACGGCCCCTCCGCGGCCCCGTCTAGGCCCCTTGCGGCCCCGTCTAGGCCCCTCCGCGGCCCCGTCTAGGCCCCTTGCGGCCCCGTCTAGACCCCTCCGCAGCCCCGTCTAGGCCCCTTGCGGCCCCGTCTAGGCCCCTTGCGGCCCCGTCTAGGCCCCTTGCGGCCCCGTCTAGGCCCCTCCGCGGCCCCGTCTAGGCCCCTTGCGGCCCCGTCTAGGCCCCTCCGCGGCCCCGTCTAGGCCCCTTTCGGCCCCGTCTAGGCCCCTCCGCGGCCCCGTCTAGGCCGCTTTGCGGCCCCGTTGCCGCCACCTGCAGCCCAGTCGCCGCCACCTGCGGCCCCGTCGCCGCCACCTACGGCCACACCGCCGCCACCTGCGGCCTCGCTGCCACCTGCGGCCCCGTCGCCACCACCTACGACCCTATCACCGCTCAGCCGCCCAGCGACCGAGCCGCCGAGCAGCCCAGCAGCCGAGCCGCCCACCTACCGAGCAGCCGAGCTGCCCAGCAGCGGAGCCGCCCAGCAGCCGAGCCGCCGAGCAGCCAAGCCACCCAGCAGCCGAGCCGCCCTGCCGCCAAGCCGCCCAGCAGCCGAGCCGCCCTGCAGCTGAGCCGCCCAGCAGCCGAGCCGCCCTGCCGCCGAGCCGCACTACTGTCGAGCAGCTGCTGTTCCTACCGATGCTCCCCGGCCCCTCCTTCCTCGGACTGGTGAGCTCACTTCCTACTAGGCCACTGCAGTCATGGCTACCCCCAGTGTCCTTACTTTTGATGCTGAGGGCCGTGCCGTTGACTTTGAGGTCTGGGTTGATGACCTCCAGCTGTTTCTCCAGTGCAATAGGGCAGACGGACTCTCTCTGTTCAATCTCACCTCTGGTGTCTCTCCTGCCCCGCCTGCTACTGCTGATAGCACTGTTCGCTCACAGTGGGCCACATGCGATGCTGCTGCTCGCCTTGCTGTTTGTCGCCACTTACCAACCACAGAGCGTGCATACTTTAGCCAGTACAAGAGTGCTCAGACCTTGTACGACGCTGTAGTTGCACGCTACTCTTTCCCTGCCACTGCTGAACTGAGCCGCCTCATGCTACCATACCTCTTCCCTGACCTTGCTGCCTTTCCCACAGTCGCTGACCTCATTACGCACCTCCGCACTAGTGACACTCGCTACTGCGCTGCACTTCTTGCTGAGTTCTGCGCCAAGACCCCCCCCCCATGTACATCACCCTCTACTACATAGTCACCCGGCTCCCTGACTCTCTTCGAGTAGTCAGGGACCACTTCCTATCAGTCTGCCCCACCACTCTCACCGTTGACCTCCTCGAGAAAAGCCTCTTGGCGGCAGAAAAGAGCATAGTCGCTGTAGGAGCCTCTCGTGGTGACCCTCGCATCCCCGTCTTTGAGGGGTGTTCCCCCTCCCCCCTCTTGCCCTCTGTTGCTTCTGCTGCTGCGGCCGACCTCGTTGGTTTCGAGTCGGTCGGCGCTGCGTCTGCCCCTAGCGGGAGACGCCGCACCGGCAAGGGCAAGCGGGGAAAGGGTGCTGGAGGGGCTGGCGGGGGCGGTGAAGGTGGTGGTGGAGGCAGTGGAGGGAGTGGAGGTGGTGGTGGGAGTAGTAGCGGGGGTGGCGGCGGCGGCGGCAGTAGTGGCGCCAGAGGAGGCGGCGGTGGTGGCAAAGGGAGCGGAGGCGGCGGAGGTGGCGGAGGAGGCAGTGGTGGAGGAGGCAGCGGAGGCGGCGGCAGCAGCAGTGGACCTGGTCGCGGCTCTGCGCAGAGGAGTGGCTCCGGTGGTGGTACGCACCAGCAGCAGCAGAGCAGTCGTGAGACCGTGTCCCCTCAGCAGCTTCGTGAGTGGTACGCTGCGCGTCAGCGCGGTGTGGGTACGGGTCCCTGCACCTACATTCTCCGCACCGGCGACCGTGCTGGTGAGCAATGCGGGGGCCCGCACCCCACCCAGCGCTGCTTCGGCCGTCTGACGGACGCGTGGCGTCACCAGTTCCCTGGGGCCTCTGAGATCCCTCGCTGGGGAGAGCTGTCTAGGGCGGGGGTTGCTATCTTTGATCTTGATTTTGATGCTATTCTTGCTGCCATGTATGCTGTTGATGATAGTGTTGTGGGTGACTGTTACCTGTGTGTACCGCCTGACCCGGGCATTGAGGCTACTACTCTAGGTGCTGGTGAGATTGCTGCTCTAGGTGCTAGTGCGTCTGCTGCCCCAGGTGCTAGTGCGTCTGCTGCCCCAGGTGCTAGTGAGTCTGCACTCTCAGGTACTACGCCGGCTCAGGCCTTACACACCTTCACCCTGGACTCCCCGATTGATCCTAGGGAAGGGTTACAGGCGCGTTGGCCTGGGGGGTTATGGGCGCACTTACCCGCTACACAAACAAGCCCTTTTATCCCAATGGTCTAGTGGTTGGGATTCTGACACTCGGCAGCCCCCTCTGGCGCCCTGTCAGGTCTCTACCTCCCCTTGTTCTCTACAAACTTGGTGAGTGGAGCGGACCTACAGGATAGGGGGGTTGACCAGTTCACTCCTGCGAGTCAGCGGGTGACCCACTGCACGTGTGCTCGGACAGGCCGACACTTGGCCACGTTCACCCATCGGCCAGGGTCGAGCCTGTACACCCTTACTATTGAGTCTCCTCCTGCTGCTGAGTCTGCCCACGTAGCTGCGTCGAGTCAGTTGTTTGCTGCGACGTCCAGGTCTGGTCCTGAGTCTGCCCCCTGCTCGTGTCGTCTGCTGTCCCACAAGACTCTTCTTTGGCACCACCGCATTGGTCACCCCTCCTTGCGTCGTCTCCGAGGCATGGCCTCCCGTGTCCTTCTCTCTGGTCACCCTCGGTCTCTCCCTCCCCTACCTCCGGGGCCTGGCCCTACCGGCGTCACCTGCGTCGAGGGGCGACAGCGCGCCGCCCCTCACTCCTCCGACAGAGGCTCCGCTGCAGACTCTCCACATTGACGTGTGGGGCCCAGCCCGCGTCCGTGGGCAGGGTCGCGAGCGGTACTTCGTGCTGGTGGTTGACGACTACTCGCGTTACACCACAGTCTTCCCCTTGCGCAGCAAGGGCGATGTCACTGAGGTGTTGATCGACTGGATCCGTGCAGCTCGTCTCCAGCTCAGGAGGAGCTTCGGCTCGGACTTTCCTGTTCTGCGTCTGCACTCTAACAGAGGCGGAGAGTTCTCCTCTGGCCTTCTGCGAGCCTACTGCCGTGCGCGAGGCATCCGCCAGACCTTTACGCTTCCGGACTCTCCACAGCAAAATGGGATTGCTGAGCGCCGCATTGGCATGGTCATGGATGTCGCTCGTACGTCCATGATGCATGCGGCTGCCCCCCATTTTCTGTGGCCGTTTGCGGTTCGGTACGCGACGCATCAGATCAACCTTCACCCCAGGGTCTCCAGGCCGGAGACCTCCCCAGCTTTGCTGTGGACGGGGAAGGTAGGCGATGCGTCTGCGTTCCGTGTCTGGGGATCTCGGGCGTTTGTCCGCGACTTGTCTGCGGACAAGCTGTCCCCTCGTGCTGCTCCTTGTGTCTTCCTTGGCTTCCCCCCTGACGCGCCAGGGTGGCAGTTCTACCACCCCACCTCTCGTCGTGTTCTGTCCTCTCAGGACGTCACGTTTGACGAGTCGGTCCCCTACTACCGCCTCTTCCCCTACCGCACTCCTTCCCTCCCCCCGCCACCGCGCTTCCTTGTGCCAGGTCCCCCCCCGGTAGACCCTCTCCCCCCTCAGGGTCCTGCCCCTTCAGGTGTGTCCCAGGTAGACGCGGTCGAGCTGGTCAAGGTTATTGGTGACTCTGGTGCTGCTGTTGGTGCTGAGCCTGGGGGTGCTGACTCTGGGGGTGCTACGCGGGTGGGTACTACGCCTGGGGGTGCTGGGCCTTCGGGTGGTACTGCTGGGGGTGCTGAGCTTGGGGGTGCTGCGCCTAGGGGTGCTGAGCCTGGGGGTGCTACGCCTGGGGGTGCTGAGCCTAGGGGTGCTACGCCTGGGGGTACTGAGCTTGGAGGTCCTACGTCTGGAGGTGCTAAGCCTGGGGGTGCCACGTCTGGAGCTGCTGAGCCTAGGGGTGCGGAGCCGGCGGCCGCTGGGCCTACTCGTGTGGCGTCTGGCGGTGCTGGGCCTGGAGGTTCTCCCGATGCTTCGCCTCGGTGGGAGCCACTCTCTCCATTGGAGCTGCGTGAGTGGTTTGCCCGGCGCTGGAGGCGTACTGCTGGAGCTTCTTCGGCTGCTGAGGGTGCTGGTGCCGCCGGTCCCGGAGGTGCTCGTGCCGCGAGTACTGGAGCTGCTGGGTCTGCGGGTTCGCCTGGAGCTGGAGCTGCTGAGGGTGTTGGCGCTGAGGCTACTGCTGTCAGTCCTGGAGACGGTTCTGTTGGGGGTGCTGCTGGTGCTGTTGGAGGTGCTGCTGGCTCTGGTCCTGCTGCGGGTGCTGCTGGTCCTGCTGGAGGTCGTGTAGCTGGCGGTGGTGTTGGCGCTGGTGCTGTCCCTCCTGTGTCTGGAGTCGCCGCGCGGCCTCGGCCGTACTTCGTTTCGCTCCTTCAGCAGGTTCTTGGTCTTCCTCCTCCCTTAGAGTGTCCACCGCCTGTCCAGTCCCAGTCACAGCTTCCGCCGGCCTCCCCAATGCCTGCTCCTTCTCCCTACACTGGTCCTACTGGAGGTCTTGCTGAGCGTCGTGAGCCTGCGTCTCGTCCTGCATCGCCTGTTCCTGCTGCTTGCACTAGTGGTCGCGGTTCGCGTCAGCGTCCTACTCCTGTTCCTGGCACGCACCGGATGTCTCTGCGTCCGTCCACTGCTCCTCTGCGTGCCCCTTTGCCTTCTCCTCCTGAGTCCTCTCTTCCTGCACTTGCCGACCCGGAGTCGGACTCTCTTCGTGCTGCCAGTCCTACTGTCACGCGTCTCCTTGCTACTGTCATCACTGACCCCTCCTTTGAGTCCACTGCTGCGTCTGCTCTTGTTGCTGAGCTCGTCGACTTTGCTGCTCGCTGTCGTCTAGACTACGCTGCTAGTCTTGTTGTTTAGTCTTTGTCTGTCTGTCCTCCGTCCGTCGGGGGTGAGTGTGCTCTTGGCACGGACGTCCTTGAGGACAGGCAGGAGGAGTTCCAGTGTCTGGCTGCTGCTTCACCTCATCTCGTGTCCGTACTACTTACCCCTGAGGGAGACCCGTATGCACTTGACATCCCGACTCCGCGCTCTTACGCGGAGGCCGTAGAGGGTCCCTACTCCTCTCAGTGGCAGGCAGCTATAGATGCAGAGATGGCTTCCTGGAAGTCCACAGGCACCTACGTTGACGCAGTTCCCCCTCCTGGGGCGAACATCGTCAGTGGCATGTGGATCTTCAGGGAGAAGCGGCCGCCAGGTTCTCCACCTGTCTTCAAGGCGCGGTACGTGGCTCGTGGCTTCAGTCAGCGGCAGGGAGTTGACTACTTTCAGACCTTCTCTCCCACCCCGAAGATGACCACTCTTCGGGTGCTGCTACACATAGCCGCTCAGCGTGACTACGAGCTTCACTCCCTTGACTTCAGCACTGCTTTCTTGCAGGGTAGCCTGCACGAGGAGATCTGGCAGCGCCGTCCACCTGGCTTCACTGGGACTTTCCCTCCTGGCACCCAGTGGAGCCTCCGACGGCCAGTCTACGGTCTCCGCCAGGCACCGCGCGAGTGGCATGACACACTGAGGACTACGCTTGCGGCTCTTGGGTTTGCTCCCTATACTGCTGACCCGTCGCTGTTTCTGCGCACCGACACCTCTCTGCCGCCGTTCTACATCCTCGTGTACGTCGACGACTTGGTCTTTGCCACTGCTGACAGTGCTGGACTCGCCCACGTGAAGTCCGAGCTGCAGAAGAGACACACGTGCACAGACGTGGGTGAACTGCGCAGCTACCTTGGCTTGCAGATCACCCGGGATAGAGCACGCCGCACCATTACCCTGACTCAGTCACACATGGTGCAGCAGGTCCTTCAGCGCTTCGGCTTCACGTACTCCTCGCCTCAGGCCACTCCTCTGTCTACTCGCCACTCGCTCTCAGCTCTGCCTTCGGATGAGTCCGTAGAGTCGAGTGGCCCGTACCCAGAGCTTGTTGGCTGCCTCATGTACTTGATGACCTGCACACGACCTGACCTTGCATACCCTCTTAGCATCTTGGCATGCTATGTTGCTCCTAGGAGACACCGACCAGAGCACATGGCTGCAGCGAAGAGGGTGTTGCGCTACTTGTGCAGTACGTCGGTCATGGGGCTAGTGCTTGGAGGGCGACGTCGAGTGGTCCTCACAGGTCACGCAGACGCTTCTTGGGCTGACGACCAGGCTACGCAGCAGTCGTCACAGGGTTACACCTTCAGCCTTGGTTCCGGCTCTGTTTCGTGGCGGTCTACCCGCTCGTCTTCTGTTCTCGGCTCTAGCTGTGAGGCTGAGTTCTACGCGGGGGCCATGGCTGCACAGGAGCTACGCTGGCTCACCTACCTGCTAGCTGACCTAGGAGAGCCGCTTCGTTCTCCTCCAGTGCTGTACGTAGACAACAAGGCCATGCTGGCCTTGTGTCGGGAGCACAGACTTGAGCATAGAACGAAGCACATTGCTCTTCGCTACTTCCTTGCTCGTGAGCTGTAGCAGCGTGGTCAGCTGCGCCTTGCTTACGTGGCCTCTGAGGCCAACACTGCTGATATCTTTACCAAGGCACTTCCGCCTTGTGATCATCAGTGCTTCTGTACGATGCTAGATCTTGTGCCTACTTGGCCTCACTTGCTCACTTCTTGACCTTGCTTGTACTGTTATCTTTCTATACCTGCACTTGCTTGTTTACCTTTATATCTGATCTTGCATGTGAACTGGCCTTCTGGCCTTGAGCTTGTGCTCGGACTGTGTGGTGACGTTGTGATCCACCCTGAGCTTGCTTTGCTTTGCTTGACTGGTCTTGTGACCTCTTGTTCTCCCCCACTTTGCCTATGGGGGTGTGTCAAACTCTTATGCTTTAGTCTGTGTAGGCTGTAGTGGGGTAGACAATATGGGGTACAACACTTCTAGGTTTTCCTACTTGTACCCACCTGCTTGCTAGTTCATTAATTCCTCATTCTTCACACAGTGGCCTTGTCCACAAACGCGGGCTGGGCCCCACACGTCCAGTTGGAGAGTCTGCAGGGGCGCCTCTGTGGGAGGGAACGAGGAGGAGTGAGGAGCGGCGCGCTGCCGCCCCTCGACGCAAGGAATGCAGGTCGGCGCAGGCGAGGGAGGGAGGGCAGGCAGAGGCCTGGGAAGGCCAGAGACCAGGAAGCGAGAGTGCATGCTACGAAGGCGAGGCAGGGAGGGGTGACCGAGGCGGTGGTGCCACAAGAGAGTGTTGTGCAACAAGCTGCGACACTCACACTGGGTAGCTACTTGAGCAGACGCGTACAGCTGGGGAAACAAAGGGGTGTAGCGTGAAATAGTGGTATGGGTGTACAGACTGGACCCAGGCTCACGAGTGAACGTGGCCAGGTGACGGCCGGTCCGGGAGCACGTGCAGATCGCCACACGCTG